GTGATTGGTCGCGGTATGGTATTGTTATTGGTTTGCCCAAATGGCGCTATCGCTACTTACTCCGCAAATTTTGTCGCCAATTTAGAAGATATTCGACTAATGCCCACACAACCCGTACATGCTGATACAACAGAAAATACCACGGTTCCACAAAATAATACCTTCCAAGATATTTTATCTTCTGATGTAAGAAATCGAAGCCTCGCGGCGGAAGAGCATATTCGTCCTTCCCAACATGTTCGTCAGAGTCTGACACAACCTCTCCATCCTAGTCCTTCCCAACCTATCCGTCAGAGTCCTACACAACCTCTCCATCCTAGTCCGTCCCAACCTATCCGTCAGAGTCCTACACAACCTCTCCATCCTAGTCCTTACCAACATATTAGTCAGAGTCCTACACGACCTCTCCATCCTAGTCCTTCCCAACCTATCCNATTGTTGGATGAAGGAATAATCGTTAATGGATGAAGGAATGATTGTTGGATGAAGGAATGATTTTTGGATGAAGGAATTATTGTTGGATGAAGGAATAATCGTTAATGGATGAAGGAATGATTGTTGGATGAATGAATGATTGTTAATGGATTTGATGGCTCACTCACTCTTGTTGGTTACGCTGCGTTGGTGGCTTCCATGTCCACCACCAACTCCACCACCTTGTCCACCACTGCTGTATCCACCACCACCAACTCCACCACCTTGTCCGCCACCGCTGTATCCACCACCACCAACTCCACCACCTTGTCCGCCACTGCTGTATCCACCGCCACCAACTCCACCACCTTGTCCACCACTGCTGTATCCACCGCCACCAACTCCACCTCCTTGTCCGCCACCGCTGTATCCACCACCACCACCACCAGCGTATCCACCACTTCCATGCACCCGCCGCTGTGGTAAACCAGAAGCCACCACCACCACGAAAAGCAACAACACAACCTTCCTGTTGGTGGATAAGGAGCCATTTTAGCAGCAGCCATCAATAACAGCTAATAACTATGTGATCATGCGGCAACATAAATGAGCAATTATAGAGCAACAAAACTGGGGCAAAAATATCATTATGCAGCAATAGAATTATTTAGCAATATTATTATTTGGCAATATAATTAATTATGTGGCAATATTAATATCGTGAAATATTAATATCTGGCAAAATTATTATCTGGCAATATAATTATGTAGCAACATAGTTTCATAATTCAACGATTTCACTTACATTTCAGCAGTCCGGTCCGTGCACAACTTACGATAAGATACAAATTTTCCCTGTGAATAAAAAAGTTTTTAATTATTCATGAATAATAAATATTTATGAGATATTTGTTGCACTCCGTCGTAATTATTAACGAATAAAAATATTAATAAACCCATTCCACGGAATAATTCATAAATTCCATGACACGTTTATGAATTGGTAAAATTTGATAATTTCTCCATTGATTCACTCAAGTAATATCACACTTATAGAAATGAGTAAGGGTTTGTCCCAAAAGTTATACACTTTTTGCCTTTGTGTGTGCGACATCCTAACCCAATTAGGCTCGGATTAGTGCTACGTTCGCTCTCTGCTAGTGCTTTGTGTGTGGAAAGTGTGTTACTATTTAGACAACCTGCCCCACTAATTTTTCTCTGCTAGTGCTTTGTGTGTGCAAAGTGTGTTGCAATTTGGATAACCTGCCCCACTAATTTTTCTCTGCTAGCTCTGTGGGTGTGGAAAGTGTGTTACAATTTGGACAACCTGGCCCACTAATTTTTCTCTGCCAGCTCTGTGGGCTGTCTCTTATACACATCTAGATGTGTATAAGAGACAGGATGAGGGGGATGATGAGGGGAGGGATGAGGGCAGGGATGTAGGAGGGGATGAAGGGAGGGATGAGGGGGATGATTAGGGGAGGGATGAGGGGAGGGATGAGGGGTGCATTTAGTCGCTTGGGATGCGCCTGCAGCCTGCATTGCAAGGCACACCCGCAAAAATGAATGGGTCACATTGTCCAAAATTAGTGACACATTTCCATGTCTGCAGCACAAGCAGAGAGCGGTCGTAGCACTGATACGCCCACTTGCCGGGCAAAACTGGGTCATGATGACCCATCAAGAGCAACAAGTGCATCGCTATTTGGACCAAGTCCCACTTATTTCTCTAAGTGCATAAATATAATGATGATGAAGGCATGAATGTGGTGATGGTGGAGGCATGAATGTGGTGATGGTGGAGGCATGAATGTGGTGATGGTGGAGGCATGAATGTGGTGATGGTGGAGGCATGAATGTGGTGATGGTGGAGGCATGAATGTGGTGATGGTGGAGGCATGAATGTGGTGATGGTGGAGACATGAATGTGGTGAAGGTGGAGGCATGAATGTGGTGATGGTGGAGACATGAATGTGGTGATGGCGGAGGCATGAATGTGGTGATGGTGGAGGTATGAAGGTTATGATGATGAAATTATAAATGTGATTAGGCAGGTAGAGACATTAATACGATGAAGGTGGAGGCAATCTTTCAAACTTGATGCTGTAGACTTGATGGTGGAGAAATCACCATGCGAAGATCATGGTGACCCAGAGATCGAGTGGTATCTGCAATATATGGCCGGGCCCAAGTAAACAACATGCTATTCAACGTGAAGTTATATACTGTATTTCCTGTACTATAACATCAATGTTGTAGTATCTTCAATATATGACTGGGCCAAAGTGAACAACATGCAATTCAACGTGACGATGTTGTGGTA